AATTATGACAGAATTTACATTTTTGTGTAAACTATACCTTTTTAAGTTTTATGTCATATCAGCTGTTCTTGTAACGTGATCAATGTGGTGGTGCAATGTTGTGCTGAAGGTGCCAAGGACATTTTAAATTAATCTTATTATTTATCGGTTTATTAATGGATAAGTGTTTAGTCAAGTGAATGAGCTGTTGTAAATATAACTGATGTGTGCACTCCTGACATGTAGATTTTATTCACATTGTGGGCAATTCGGGTTAACTTTAATTTTAAAATTATTATACAATTCCATTTAGAAGTAAGGGTTTGCAATGCTGTAAAAGTATTCATTTGAAAAATATGTATTATTATTATTATTATTATTATTAGCCATTATCTTTGTCAGATGACTGAGATTTGCAATGTGAAGTAATAGCATGCTGCAAAGTAGTCCTTTTAAAATATTTTTATTTTTATTGTTATTATTATTATTTGCCAGTATGTTTCAGTCAGTTAAATTAAATAAGAAAACCCCTTAAAATATTCATATTTTCTTGCTGAAATGTATTATGTAGATTTAATTTATTGCAATGCAATTATGCCTTTTGCATTAACTCATGTTAAAGTATATTATAAAGTAAAATCAAATATTTGCAAAATAAATTAATATAAAACAGCCAAATTAATAATAATTATTATTATTATTATTAGCCTATCTTTAAAATATTTCTTTACAATTATTAGTATATTAACTTGAAGACTTTATTCATTGTAATCAAATGTGGCCTTTTGCAGTATAATTAATTTTTAAGGATTATAAAATTCCAAGTAGAATCAATGTTGTGCAAAGTGAATAAATATCACTGTCAGTTTTATAAGCATTTTATAATAATAATAATAATATTAATAATAATAATAATAATAATAATTATTATTATTATTTTTAGTTGTATAAACTTTTATATAATTTATTTGGTAAATATATAAAAAATAAACTGAACATTTTAATTTGATTATCCTTTTAATGCATTGGTAATTAATAAATTATTAGTTTCAGTGAAGGGAATGAGCTGTTTGTTCATTCCTGTAAACTATTAATATTTCCATGATGAAATACTGATTTTATGTATTGTAATTTAATTTAGCCTTTTGGATTAACTAATTTAAAATCATTTTAAAGTTCCAGAAATAATCAGATTTTTGCAATGTGAATTAATGGCACAGTTAAAGTGATTTAAAAAAATATTATTTTTATATTATATTATTTTTACATGTTTTTTTATTTATTTTATAGTTAAGTTAAAATAATTTCTGAGCAAAAAAATCAGGCTGAAACAGATTTTATTAATTGCAATTAATTTGGTTTCACTTATTTAAAATTATAATAAATGTACCAGGTATAGTCAATGTTGTGCCGTGTGAATTGATATCACTGTAAAGTTAATAAATGTGTGTGTGTGTGTGTGTGTGTGTGTGTGCGCGTGAGCATTTTCTGTGAAAAAGGAGGAATTGTTTTGGGGTTTCACTCTGCTTGTCCTTGGCATTCAGTTTTCTGTAATGTTAGTAGCTGACTGTTCTTGTACCAACCTGTAACATAATCAGCACAGTGATGCAATGTTGTGCTGAAGGTGCCAAGGTGGATTATTTTAGTGTTTGACGAATACCGTAACATGCACTAGCTATTGAATTAATGCTGTCATCAAGCTTAAGCGCGTCATTGCGCTTTATACTACATACAGCCACTATAAAGTGCTGTAAATCCATCTGTAGTTTATTAAATGTGCTGCCTTCTCATAATTTATTGCATTTTCACTGGTGGATTTGATGGAGTGTAGATAATGTGTGCTTTTATTGTGCATCACCGACCATTCATTTGCAAATCTGCACGAAATGGAAATATGTAGGTGCTTTTTTTTCTGTCTCCTACCTGGTAATTAATTGAAATAAGCCAGTTCTTGAATGTCAGTCTGAATGTCGCTCTATAACCACGAACATTCATCATGCAGAAATGGATTTTCAACTGATTTCAGTGCTGCCAATTGTGTTAACTTGATATTTAAACATGTACTGAATTTAATATGCCTTAGCTGATTATTATTAGCAGGATATTAATATAGTTTACATTTATGTTCAACTGAGGTTTGCTGAATTGCTTTTTGTATACATGTGTTTATTGTGGCTTGTGGCATGTGTATAGAGGTGCCATTTTTGTGTGCATTACTTTAAATGTACAGAAGTGGTTTTATATGCATTGGAAGTATATTATACTAACTTTTTTGTAGAAAAAAAATGAGAACAGAAAGTCTCTCAAAAATGTGTGAACTATATAATTGTCATTAACAGATACATTTACATACAAATAGTTCACTCTTATTTTGATATATTAAAGTATATAAAGGAATAAGAGATCATGCAAAATATTGCGTTTTGATATGTGATGTACATTAATTGATGAAATGTATGGCAAAAAATATTTTTCTACAATTAATACATATTTATTAATTTCAGTAAATTAATCTTATTTAAATATGCCTGTTTTTTTTATTTGAAAACTATTATTACATTGATTGACATTTTAGTGTGGTGTCTGTTAATCATTGTAAAAATATATGATGAAGCAAATTTTTTGCAAAATAATAAAAAAATATATATAATATGATTTAAAAAGTAGTAATATTAAGTGCGACATTCTAATAATAAAAAAAATTAAATTGTTTTAATCCTATTTTTTTTTTTTTTTTACCAAGGTGGCCAGATTTCTGAAAAGCAAACTGGCAATGTTTTCTTTGCTTTACTTTACTTTTGCGTTACTTTAGTGGTCAAAATAACAATTCTGACTTATGTATGAGTAAAAATGGGAACAATGCATTTTGCATATTTTTATAAGCATTAAAACAGCAGCAGTTGGTGACAAGACCACAAAAATTGCTAAACAGGGCCATCTATCTTTGACTCGTATGTTTATGCTTTGATATACAGTTGAAGACAAAATTGTTATTACTTTAATTCATTTTCAAATCTTCCCAAGTGATGTTTAACAGTGCAAGGACATTTTTCTGAGTATTTCCTAACATTGTATTCTGGATTGGGATGTCCCGATCAGGTTTTTTTGCTCTTGAGTTTGAGTCATTTCACTGAGTATCTGCCGATACTGAAACCTGATCTGATACTTCAATAATACATAAAAAAAGAATAAAGAAAAGCCAAGAAACAGATCCAGGAGGAATTCCTTATTTCTTATTTACTGCAATTTTCCTTATTTTAACTTTCAACAACTCTGTTAACAAACAGAGCACTTCTGTGGGAAAGCTTGAACAATTAAGTAATAAATAACATCAATTCTTCACTTTTAGACTTCAGTGCAACAGAAAATATAAAAATATTCTAATATAAAAACAAACAGCATCTCAAGTTAAAATACCCATGCAGGAGGCAATCCCAAGTTTACATATCTCACAGTTTGCTTTGGCAATGTTGTCAGCATCAACTTTATAATGCCTCCAGACCGCTTCAAGCTGCTTCTGTGTTCTACTTTGCTGGCATTTAACCAATAGCGTCTCTGCAACAAAGTGATGTCATGCGGCACACGTTGCTGTATCTGTGTGAAGTCAAGAAAGGGGTCGAGCTCTGTGTCACCGCATAACTGAACATGTGTTAAGAAATAATGCGTGTGTATTTATATAGTCCTAATTGGGAAGTAATGTCCGATTCTGATTAAGTCTGAAATAGGCATGGGCCGGTATAAGATTCAGACGGTTTGATAACCTTGCATAAAAATATCACAGATTCACGGTATTGTGATTAATGCTCTAATATATGCTCTTTTTAAATGTCTGGGTAAAAAAACAAAAACATTTTCCCCCTTTGATCAAATTATAATTTGTTTTGAGGAACATTTAGAATATTTTGGAACAGTAAACATTATTGAATTGTTGAATTATTAACTTTTTTTTTGATTATCGTTTGATTTTTGTTACAATTTATTTTTTGATATTTTTTCTTGTGGATATACTGTTGTCCTAAAAAACAAAAACAAAAAAATGTAAATAAAAAATTGTAGGCATACCTTAGAAACGGTATTGCAGAAAGTTTAGATGGTTTTAAAACCTTTCTTTTTCCAAATCGCGGTATACCTTGAAAACAGTTATCGTCCCATACCTAGTCTGAAGCGGTGTGACCGGACTGATTTCAGATCACGTGATCGGATCAAGACATCCCTAAATCTGGATTGAGTCTAATTTGTTGGATAGAAAAAAATTGATGGAATGTAGATAGATATAAATAGCTGAATACTAGTGTCTTGCGGAACAACAAGTAATATTATTTTAACATTATTTAAAGACTAAATAAATGAGTTATTAGTGGGCCATATGGAATTTTACACAGATTGTTTTAGCAATACATTTTGTAGAGTAATATATATATTAGATTTTTTTTAATTATTATTCTTTTTTTGTAGGTGTATTTTGAGAGACTTTTGTTCACCAAACAAGTGGTTTTATTGGATTTGCGTTGTAAACCTTAATTAAGTTAAAGTTGTTACTGTTTATCTCATGTTTCAAGTTTAATTACTACAGTCTCAAAATCATTTCTCTTAAATCCACAGACTTTATTTACAAAATTCTATGCAAAAATTGCTGAAAATAGTTCCATATTCTGTCCGGCTCTGCTTGTTAGAAATGTTTTATTAAAACTCCTATTTTTAACAATTGTGTTAAAAAATAAAAATCTTCTCTTTGTTCAAGTCACTTGGGAAATAGTTGAAGAAGACTTTTATTTTGGAGATTGCGGTCTAATAATGTTGTCTTCAACCGTAATTAATATAACAGTTGAGTGAGTCTTCAGTCCAGAAGGTTTTTGGGTTTAATTGGCGAGCAGTTAGACATCAACAGCATACCAGACACGCTTGTTTTCACGTATGTGGCTCTGGAATGTTTGCTTTCAGCCTTGTTAAGAGCCCAGAATCCCCAACAATATTATTACAGCGTGATGAAATGTATAATCTGTGTTTGTTTTTTCTTCCAGGCCATGAATATATATTGTGTAACACTCAACGGACCTGCACCCTGGGGTTTTCGGCTTCAGGGAGGCAAGGACTTCAACACTCCTCTGACCGTGTCCAGGGTAAGTGTCCTCCATTTTGGATCTAGCGATGGGTTTTGTTTCACAGCTCGGGCTGCTTATAAATGATGTCACATTTGTTCTCTTGAAAGTTTCAGTTTGGCTGTGTTTATGCTGAGTCTTAATGCACAGCTCTGGGTCTGATTTAATTAATCTGCATAAAAACCTTCCTAAAAGTGAGCATACACCAGAAAGTGTTCATTTATTTGTGATCAAGGCTCATGAAGATTGAAAGTGGTTCAATTAAGGCAACATTTACATCTGCGCAAGTTCTTCCGTCAAATGAGCTTTTTATAGACAACTTTATATTTTGCACCTGTAACGAGGAGACTGACACGGAGGGATCCATTATGCAGTATTTATTGATCAAGCTCTCACTCAAACACACAATATGCACCCAAGTGCAAACACACATCAACAATAGTCTGAAAGGTTTCAAGACTGGCGGTAAACAGACACAGAGGGATTTACCAGGCATGGGTCAAAGGCAGGCTGCGTGTATCAGAGTCCATGTAACAGGCTTGGGTCGTGGGCAGGCAGCGAGTATCAGAGTCCGTAAATCAGGCTTGGGTCGTGGGCAGGCAGAAGGCGAAGCAGAGTCAGAAACAGGCTGGAGTTGTACACGAGAGATAAGGCAGGAAATAACGCTCAGTAATGCTGGCCGGGGCTAAACAAGACTTCGCACTGACTGAGTGTTTGTGTGCGGCTTATAAAGGGTACGTGGGTCGTTAACTAGATTCAGGACAGGTGTGTGCACAATCAGCGTAAGTGGATGATGTAATGCTAGAAGTCCGGAGATGGCGGCCTCTGCTGGCCAGGGAGGGGAGTGACTGGGACCAAGTCGGTGACAGCACTCTGGTTTTGTGCTTACGCCACGTTTATAAAGTATGCCCCTGTACCCGTATTTACACAACATCTGATCTCCCCATTGAGTGTTCTCCTAAATAGCAGTACATTTTAACTCAGAGTTTTCTCTTTAAACTGTTAATAAAGCTGCTGAGTTCAACTTTTACTAAGGATTATAGAGTAGTCTGAAGCCAGGGGTGTCCAAACTTGATCCTGGAGGGCCGGTGTCCTGCATAGTATAGCTCCAACTTGCTTCAACACACATGCATTTCTAATATTGACCCTATTCTAAAATGCGGAAGTGCGCCTGTTTTCGCGATTGTCTTAGAACTTCCGATTCAGTCGCCTATGGGAGAAATGACAAGGAATAATAAACGGCAGAAAACGGTCAAACTACTTGCTCTACAAACAAATGTTTGCATGATTATACAGACCAAGTCAGGGCTCAACAATAAAGACTGCCCGCTGGCCCGGGGCCAGTGTGCAAGACGCTCGGGACAATATACAGAATGGTTACTGGCCCGATCGGGGCTAGTGCTGCCTTGTTACTAAAATTTAATTTAGTTGCGACTGTCAATTGCATGATTTCATGCCCAGACGTGTTTCAGAACTTGTTTGCCCAGTAAGCGTGGTTCGTGCGGCTAATATGATTATTATGTTGATGGATCAAGCAAGAACAAGAAGTGAAATGCATTTTAAAGCTAGATTTACAAAGATCTGAACTTCCCATCACTACTGTGCATCTAACCTCAGAGCAGCCTTGCACACATATTGTACTTAAGGCTGCTATCTTGTGGGCTGTTGTATGTGAGTTTGAGGATGGGTAGACCGTAGATGGTAGATGAAAGTGTTCATTAATACGTGTTTCAAAAAATGTGACTGAGTTTTTATTATACAATATTTATTTTGTTGAATCTTGCAGCTAACAAATATCTTTATTTAGAAAAGCTAATACTGAAACTAATAAAAACTAAACTAAAACGAAGTCATTTCAAAATATAGAAACTAATAAATACTAGTAAATCTGCCTCTGAAAACTCATTCAAACTAACAGAGTTGGAAAACAAAAAGTCAAAACGAAATAAAAACTAATGAAATCCAAAACTGTTATTAAACTTGGTTCAGAACAGAATCAAAAAAAGGATATTTGTGTGTGTTTACATGTGTGCAAATTCCGATCTATTGTCAGACATGGTGTAAATGCAGGTTTTGACAAATAAGCGAGACATTTGGCAGACTTCAATTGGGTAACATGAAGCCATCACTCACTCAAGGTGTTTTCATCCCCATAATGAGCATTTTTCAGTCCTGCGCACGCAGAAAGACATCAAACACAACCCCAAAAGGAAATGCATTACAGTTAACGAGAACAGTGTGCTCCGTGAGCTCCATTTCAACACATGCATTCCTTCAGAAACATGTCACCGCTTGATATCAACCCCATTAGAAATGTTCTGTTTCAGTGTCCTCACAAGGATATGTTGTGCTTTGTTTAGCTTCCAGCATGCGTTGTTCACCACTGAATCCTGCTTTACAGACACTTCTGATGGAGCATATTGAACAGATCCGCTCCAGACGCTCAATTTCCACTCCATATATGAGCAGTGTTGTTTGTAGTATACACAACGTCAGCTCTGGCGGCGGCTACTTAAAGGTCATTGCATGTATACCAATACCATAGGGGATAATAATGTGGTCTCGGTTTGGATAAGGGTGATGCATGTATTTTTTGTTGTTACAATGCATTTGACTCTATATGCCTTAAGGAAGCTTTGTATAGGAGAAACAACAAGCATTGTTTGGTAAAAATGCACATGCTTTGTGTGTTTGTCACTAAATTATTAGCCAACTGTGATTGCAAAATTAAAATTAATCATGGTTTTATTAAAGTATACAATGATTATGCTAAATTTGTAGCCTATAGTGTTTATTTTGGAAGATTGATTCATTATTTGTATAACAGCAGTTGTCCTACCATGGTTAAACTATAGAAAAACCATAGGAGTTTGTGGTTAACATTGTTAAAATATAATAGTCATACGTCTTCATTTATGTTGTATTTGTATTAAAACGGTGTATATTTTTGTAAGGGTTTGTTCCATTGATACCAACATGCTTTTCCCAAAATCAGAACAGACGTTAGGGCTGCACAATATATGGTTTTAGCATTGATATCGCAATGCATCTGCAATAGTCACATCGCAAAGATATGCAATGTCCAGTCTGAATTATAGTTGAGCAGGAGCTACAGAATTGTATTTAATCACTGTGTTTATATGCTTTATACAAAAAAGTCTTGCTTTTTTATCTTGTTTATAGTCCAAATATTTATTTAGCGAAAAGGAAATTATTTCATTTACCCCACTGGCAGATAATTTCCTTAAAACAAGCCAAAAACTCTTATTTTTCTCTTATTTATTCAGATGGTGAAAACGAAACGTATAATATAAATATTAATATTTTTACTCAATCAAAGAATTTTTTGACTAGAAACAAGCAAAGTAATAAAATCTTTTTTTTTTGCATTGTGATTATTCAGTTTCTCTACACATACTGTTAGACTCCCCAGAAAATGGTCAAATAGGGCTATTCAAACCATCTTCTGAAACTGTGTTCATATCGCGATATTTATCGCAGAAAATAAAATATCGCAATATCAGATTTTTCCAATATCGTGCAGCCCTGAAAGACATTTATTTATTAATTCATTTTATTTAATTTAACTTTAAAACATTGTAGTAAAAGTGTAGTTATAGTAAATTTGTTGTGTTTTATTGATTTTGATATGTTGATTAATCCTTGGTATTTTGCGGTTATCATGGTTACAATACAATAGTACAAAAATGTTTTTATTGCAATTTCATTTTTTGTAACATTGTACTATATTCTTGTAATATAGTGTAAATGTAGTAAATTTGTAATGTTATTTTAATTTTTTATTTCAACAATTTATTTGAAATTTGTTACTATAGCAATTATTTTTGCTTACCATAGTTAAAATACAATAATCATGTTTTTATTATAATCATTTTATTATTCTTTTATTCATAGTAAAACTATTCTAATTTGTTTTTGTAATAGCTTGTTCCTTTATTATCAGCTTTTCCCCCAAATCATAACAAAGATTATGTTGTTGTTGTTAATGTTATTGTGCGCCATTGTCATCTAACACTGACCACAACAAATCACATTTGCAACTCTGTCACCTATTAGTAAAGGTATAAATTAATAAATCATTCATACGTTAATTGTTTTCATGATAATCTGATATTTTAGGTGAAACATACTTCAAATGAATTCAAAATCTCCTTGTTTTCCTTGGTCAGATGCTGCTTACTAATCTTGTTGCTTTTGACTTTGCTGCCTGCTCATTCTGCCTCTGGACTGCATTGCTCATTCTTCCTCTGCATTTCTTGGCCCTTTATTGGCTGCTTGCAGCTATATTCATCATTATTATTACATTTAAAATATTAAAAGTAAAGTGTTATTGAAATTTCTGACATCATTAACAGTGTTTCCTCTAGGATTTTTTCCAGACTTTTACACAGATCTTCCAACTACCTATGTTGTTATTTCAATGACCGATGTCGTGAGCGCAGTATTACAAGTCAAAATCGCATCCATGTAATACGAGCATGCAAATCTCTTTGCTTGTGCGCCGATTTTTTTTCTGTTTGTGCACACAACTTCTTGCACGCCCTCAAATATACACTGCTCAAGCACAGATTTTCTTGTGCGCTCAAATAAACGCTACTGAACATTTGGTACGTTTATGTAACAAGTTTGTCTCCAACATTTTTTAGATTTGCTAGGGATATTTTATGAATGTCTCCAATAGACCTACAGAGCAGCATTGATGCGTCCTCCAGCAAGATAAAGTCATTGGCTGCGCCCGAAACCGCATACTTCCATACTATACAGTACGCTAAAATCAGTATGCGAGCCGAGTAGTATGTCCGAATTCATAGAATTCGAAAATCAGTAGGCGAGAAGTACCCGGATTACTTCCGGCGAGATTCTGAAGTGCGCATCCCATGCACGCTGCGCTATCCCATAATGCCCTGTGAGAGAATTCATGAATGGAAGTGAGGAGACGCAACTGACGCAGGTAGGTCACGTGACCATGACAAAATGGCGGATGTAGTGCGTCCGAATTC